CCACTATCTTAAACCTTTACCTGACACAGTTAATTCATGTCGTACAAATGCCAAGTGCTGCAGGTGCTGCTTGGTGTTTCTGTGTTACACTTCATTCATTCACTTTAAAAAAAAGAACAATTCCTGACTTTTCTTTCTCACTGAATGACTCTGTGTTACTGCATTTGCATCAGTGTCGGCTTGTGAAGCGGTTTTTCCTCTACAGGAAATTGTCAAGACTCCCTAGAGTGTCTCTCTGGTTTAGTGACCTAATATTGTTGTTGAGCTTTGAGAAAATAAAGCACACAGTAAGAGGCTTATCTGATAAATTTCCTTCTGCTTTGGGTCCCATGATCCAATACTGCAATAAGATTAAAACCCTCCAACGGCTGCACTAGATTAATTTTTACACAAATACAAATCTAACTTTTTACCCCCTGTTCAGCACTTTCTGAGGTTCAGATGGCTTATATATATGCTTTAGTTGATGTATCTGTATGTCCAGAGTTATATTTTTCCCCTGGATTCTATTATAGATGTTTTATATGTGCATTGTACTTTTTTTGTTTGATTTTCCAATGCAGTGTGGAGATAATGGGGCTGGAGGATTATAAATCATGTTTGGGGCTTGGGAGATAACAAGGAAATCATTATTTTATGTAATAATATTGTGTTTTAAATGAATGCCTGTTTTATAATATATATATCACACACACACACACACACACACACACACACACACACACACACACACACACACACACACACACACACACACACACACACACCACACACACACACACACACACACCCACACACACACACACACACACACACCACACACACACACCACACACACACACACACACACACACCACACATACACACACACACACACACACACACACACACACACACACACATGCTAATGGGAGCAGTTAATTTCACAATCTGCCAATTTACTGTACAAGGAAGAAGATAGATTAAAAACAGGATGATGTGTTACTACTTGGTTAAAATATGAATTCCATGTGAAAGAGTGGATTCATTTTTGAAGTGTCTCTGTTTCAGCGAGGAGTTTGTCCATCACAAACCACAAGAACAGCGTTCAGTGAGTCCTGCCGTGCCCTGAATGAAAGTATATTCATTCATTGTTTTTTTATTTCCTCTGTACTGACAAAAGCAGTGGCATTACGTTTTCTTGTGAACACAATATCCCAACAACTCCCGGAGGGACTTTTAGTCCATCTGGTTTATTTTTACGTTTTTTGTACCTATTAAAAAAACAAAACAGCTAGAGGACAATAACTCCTCTTTACCTGTTTGTCCTGCTGTTGTGAGAAGGTCGTTCATGTTCTGCAGAAAAAACAGACAAAGGATGTTACGTGATGTTACTGTATGTCCATCCCAGCCTACCTGTTCCCTTTGTCTGTTTTTATTTTTAGCATGATAGGTTCTTTCAAACATTTTCCATTTATAAATCCTTTATCTGCGTCATGGCTGTTTGGTAAACATGTAATGCTAGAGTTGTGCTTAAATTTGTCACGTCTGTTTATCCATTAACAAATACACTGTTGAATACAAACGGAATGATTCACTATTAAATGAACCCTATTTAAATGAATTCATTCATTCATTTCACGCAACACAAACATTACATATGATTTACATGTGCTCTTTTCTGAATTCAAATGGTATACATGCAGTGACACTCATATGCATTTGTGCTATTCATGTAAAAAAAAATACAAGCTAAGGCAACAGAAGCTGTAATTATCATGGCTTACTGTTTATGTTGTCCGGTTTATGACTGGGTTTCTTTTGTGTGTGTGTTCGATTTATGTGTGGGATGTTTTTAAAAGAAGGGAAAGACAAAAAGGCCATCCATTATTCCTTCATTGTTCACATCTGCAGTTCATCAAATCTAATGAAAGCTAACAGGCCAGATAACATTTTACTGCTTTAGGGGGACAAATTATTCAACATCCTGCATGTAACCTACCTCTTACTGTCTGTTAATATTCTCATGCTGAGGCCTGCGCAGAATGAGATGGTGCTTGGACCCCACGAGACCGTGCAGATGGGACAGCTTGTGCCATTCGTGGGCCGACTCATCCAGACGGTAAAATGTCACAAAAATGTCAGGGGAAACCCAGTTGGCTCAGTAGCAGATACTCTTCAGTGATACACCATTGAAAAGGACCAGAGAAAAGGCCAAACTCCCCTCCACTCCGAATGCTGCCACAGACTGCATATTGGCTTTGTCGCCATTAGTCAGACACAGAATCAATATTTGATTTGCCTGTTTTTCAACTGAGCACTTTAACGAGCAGAGTTATGTATTTGTTGGACATTTATGGGGGTAAAGTGAAACTGTAGCCCCAAAATATTTAGTTACCAGTGACCAAGCCTGCTCCTTGCAGTCAGTCTGTTGCTTTAAAGGGGCGTTAAATAATCTATGACCTTTAGAGGACTACCAGGAATTCAACTAATTTGGCAGAACTTCCCTCCTCCCTTCAAGTATTTGGCTCAGAACCAACCTCTATCCGCCCCTGCTCCCCCCCCCAAGCGATGGCAGCCTGCAACTGACATAAAGTATAAAAGCTGGATTTTCAAAAAGGGGGGGAAATGAGGTCTCCAATTAGAGCAAAAAAACAGCTTAAGTGTCTGTTGAAGAAGTCAAACATCAGGATGCAAAATACTGGCCTAAAAATAGCGCTAGTACAGCTTTATCTTATTAAGCTGTTAACAAGAGCTGTGTCCCAAATCCATACTACAAGCCATTCTAAACAGTGTACGCCCCTGTGTGTCAGCGTACACTGTTTAAAAACTTTGTATGAAGAAATTACATGCTTCACAAGAAATGAAAACAGGAAGAGATCAAATGTGTGCAATGCTTGACCCCCCACATAATAAAACACTGATTAGAAGTGTGATAGTAAAACAAATGGATGTCTTTTATGTGGAGTTATGCAAATATTTCTGACAGAACTCGTTCATTTTGTCTTCAAGGAAAACACAAGAGGAGACAATTGATGATAACCTCGGAGTAAAGGCGGCTAAATGTTTACGTTAGATGAAGTTACTTGAATCTTCTTTATTAGAATGTCACAGAATTATTAATTAATTGGACTTTGATATCTATCTGGAGAGATCATTAAGGGCATGTCTTAAAGTTCATGTTGTCGAGAGTACACGACAAATATATGAAAAGAGAAACACAAACCAACCAAAAAATTAAATAAACTATAAAAAAAAAAGAGTAATAAGCAAGCAGAAAAAGAAAACTTCAGTTACATTTATGAGCAGGCTGTTGAGTTTAAAGTGTCAGATAGATTTTACTGGCAATGATTTCGATTTAAAAAAAATGTAGACAACAACTCCCATGATCCAATGCCACTTTACAACATTTCTCAGCTACATCTTTTGTTGGTGTACTGAAACATCAAATTACATGGATTGCATATTAAAACTCTAGCATACAAAAAAAATGTCCTAAGGTGCTCCTACACTTTAATTCAAAAGTTCAGCTTTAAAACTACGTAACCCCTCTGGGGACATTTGATTTAAAGAAAAAGAAAAACAAAGAATACATGCCCACATGATGATTATTGTTAGCTGTCTCTATGCAAAGACGTGTGATAGTTGATTAGTCCGTTAACTCTATCACTCTGTAACTTGTTAATACGTCCAAAAGGAGCAGATCAAAAGCAGCTCAGCAACAATGAGCAGTCTCTGTACTGAGATGACTTACATGTTATTATCTCATGGCCATGCATTACTATCTCACCAGAGAGGCTCTGTAAAAAACTGACTTGAAAAAAACTACACACACAATCCTTATCACTGATAACTGAATTTAAACTATGGGGATTGTGTGTCTTTTGGAAATGTATTTCATTTCACATTGCACTTAACACTTCATCTTACAATGTATGACCTACATTAAACATTTTGTGTAAAAACCCAAAGCTTGGACTCATTGTTTAAATTCTATTCAGATAAAAGTGTAAAGCGTGTTGTATGCTTTAGCTCCGTGACTGTGAACTTCAGCTATTTAAACAGCAATCAAAGCTTGATAGGATATGAAACCTTTGTGTGCAGTGAGTCTGCAGCATCAGGAGCTCGTCCCAGTGGAGTGTGATGATTAGCATGTGAGCCGACTGGATTTACCCTCATTATCTAACAAGCTGATTACAAGCTAATTATTTCAAGGGAGCGAGGTTAGCTCATCAACTTTGCTAAGTTGTTAGATAGATAGAGGCAATATAGCACAGAGTGTGATCATTATAACTGATCAGTGTATATGTTTGTATAGTAAAAGATGTCAGAATCCAGATGTACCCCAAGAAAAACGTGCATGTCTTCAATTAGAAAATACAGAACTGAACAAAACAAAAGTGTCCCCAAAATTGACAAATCATATTTTAAAGTACTTTTTTTACTGCTGTGGAAGAAGAAACAGACACACCCCTCAACTTAACAAGCGTATTTTAGACAAAAACGATATATAATCACTTATTGGGTAGAGCATTAAGACTCAAATGGAACAGGAATGAGACCTACTAGTATTTATTAATTGTACAAAATCATAAAAGATAAACAATATGACTACCTCCTAATGATGGCACTTCTTCCTCCCACTGATGAGCAGCTTCATATTTTCAATGTTCTTCCCACACTTCAGTAAATCTTGTGTCTCAACAATGAATTGTGGGAGTTGTAGTCTTTCAGGCCAGTCCAGCTTAAAGGTTTCAGAAAGAAACACTTTATAATATGTTTTATTGCTAATGATAAAAAAGGATAGCTGTAATGTGAACAGAGCGGAAAAAACAATTATCAACGACTGTGCAGTTCCCCTCTGAAGCACCTTTCAGCTCATCTGGGGTTTGTTAGAGGGGCTACAGCTTGCTTTTCCTTTTTTTTGGTGAACTTTCATCAAAATCTCTTTAAGGTGCAGCAGCAACTAAAGAGCCAGATATTTCCCACGTGATACAGACCAAAAACAAAGCTTAAAGAAATTGAGCTCCACATTGGTTTAATCCGTACATAGGAAACGGTTTGCTTTAATGACTTAGAAGGTGATAGCAAATGATCAACAATTTCATCTTTAAGGTTCGTAGTTTTGTAGTTGCCGGTAGAAGCCGGGGTTGGGGCAAATTGACGGCCTTGCCAGCTTCACCTGGCCGTACGCATCATCAAACTTCAGTCCCTCCCTCAACATCAGATAGCCAATCACAATGGAGGATGCCCGTGATACACCTGCGTTACAGTGAACCAGCACCACACCGTCCTGTGAGAAACAAAGTCAGACAGAAAAACAGGAAGGTGAAGACAGATAACAGAGTCAGAGTTAAGAATCCTGTTCTTTAATTACAACCTCTACTTTTATAGACGGAAAAGCATTCAGGAAATGAAATGATATGTATGTATATATATATATATATATATATATATATATATATATATATATAAATGGTTACCTTCCATTGTAATCAGATCCATTACTTGAGTCAACATTATCTTAACATGTTGTGTTAACGTCCTGAATTATTTTATTTTCACTGCTTGACAATTATATTCAGCATGATGTTTTAGGATAAATAGTATTGCTCTATTATTACATGTTATATTGTTCTGCTTAAGATTTTAAAGGCTGCTATTACTTTAACTTCTTTACATACTGTTGCCTAATTTAATCTCCCTCAATGCATCGTATTCTCAAAGATCTTGTGTCATAATGAGTTGCTGCCCCGAGATAGAGAAGAAGTCCACTTTGAGGGAAGAGGAACAGCCTTGTTTTCAGCTTTGTGGGAAATGCATTTTTCAGCTAATACGCTAAGGACGTTTTTATTTTATCTTCAAAATTAAAACAACGTGCTGGGATACATGGTTTTCAACAAACAGGAAGAATATGAAAACTTGTATCTGACCAGAAACTAAACATGTGAGACAATTCAAAATACTCTAGAAAAGTACAAGTCACTGTTATTGATGCTTAAATGCAGTACCTGAGAATCAATGTACTTACAGTCATATTCTAGTTTAGTCAGTATTTAATGCATTTATAAGAATTGTATTTTATGTGCTCAAAAATGAGGAAAGGACATTTTTAAAAACGTTTAATTGTAATGTAAAGGGGATGTGGCAGAAGTTTCACGGGCTGTTATCTTAAAACACTAGCAGCTCAAACCAGAATTATCAACATGGCCAACTATGATGTCTGTTAAGACTATTGTTTTTCTTTTACGTTTGTAATGACAACTCTCATCCAAAAATGTTTGGATCCAGTGGCAACGTTTTCTAACATTTGCTGCTGTCAAATTTGGCATGACAAACCAGAAAGTTTGTCAGTTTAAACATGACACATACTGCAAAATACGAACATTTTTACACGACATGTGTTTTTACAGAGTTGTAAAACACGATCTAATAAATCGGTAACATCGGATAGATTCGAAAGTTAACCTCCTCGAAATAAATCATCTGCACTTCTTTTTTTTTGTTAAACTTTCTAGTTTCTGACTTTCTAACATCTCTGAACGCGGCATTAGACAGAGCATGTAGAACAAGTTGAGAAGGAATAAATCTGTGCCTGTGGTTTACGTGTGTATGTGTGTCAAAATTTGCGACATGATTAATATTAATGTTGATGTAATTATTTTACTGCCTAGAGTGCCTGGCTGGAAATGAATTTTTGAATGAATTTAAATTCCAGCCACATCTTTAGACAATGCGTGCAGGCCCACGGCTCAGTTCTGAAGCTCGGCATATTGACACATTTGTCTCTTTTATTCAACATGGAGCCTACCATTACTGAATAAAGTCTTTTTTTTTTTTCTGGCTGAAATGGAGCAGAAAAGAAACTGCAAGCACAATCTTTATTTTACATGTCAATCAATATGCACCAAAGGACATGAGACTGAAATTAGCTTTGACTACACAAGCGTATACAGCTGCTGTAATTGACACGTTTTCACTGATATCTGCGATTTCATTTCCAACTATAAACCAATCAGGTCGTCCCTCTGGGTGAAACAATCACATGAAGCAGACAAAAAAACATGCAGGAAGGCTACAGCATAATATCATTCTTTAATATGTTTCTATCAATGTAAACGCTTTTATATTATCTACACTGGTGTCTGCAGTAAATGTAGCGACACACTAGATCTTGTTTTTCTTTCGTTTAGGGAGAAAAAAACTGAAAACTTTTGCAGACTGAAAATTGCCAGAGCAAGATAATCCATCACAGCAAACATTGTGACTTAATTTGGTTTTGTCAGAGTTTCTTGTTTTGCTGTTATTTCCTTGCGCTTGAGTTGAGTGTTTTCATATCAGTGCTCACATCGACTCGTGTTCCGTTTCTGGTCAATCTCTGACACACGCACAGACACACACACACACACACACACACACACACACACACACACACAATATTTACAATATTTATCTGTATTGCATACAGCCCATGAAATCACAGAGGGAAAATGTAAGCAGAGAACATTTTGACCCCAGCATGCTCCTCTACTAGGTATTCTGACCACCCGCCTCGCCTTTGTGCTGACTTACAGATAGCTGACTGAGGCTGATGTGTGTAAATGCATCGCAGTGTGGTAGCAGAGTCTCTGTGTGCACACCGACATGTTGAATTAGCAAGCAGATATAAAAGACGGCCTTTTTAAGGCTACACAAGCCCCCTGGGGAGAAGTGGATACAGAAATATTTTTTTAATAGATTTGATTCATTCCTTATCTGGAAAAAAGCCCAGGAACTGTGGTTTGTGTCCTGTGTGCATGTGTCTGCATCTATCAGAGGTGGAAGACGACTGAATACATTTCCTCGAGAAGAATTTAAATGCACCTGTACTTTTCATGGTTATTTTGAATTTCACAGAATCACATTTTGCTCCTATGAAAGAGGATGTTGTACATTTAAAGCATGCATCTTATTTCTATTCTTACTTGTATATTGAGCATTGTTGTAAAATAATTTTAACCTTCAAACAGAAAACAAAATACTTGTGCTTTTCCATTTTTTTGAAGCATTCTTGTAGACCTGAATCTAACACTGTAAGGATATAAACGTCAGCCCTTCAAGTATATCAATAATTAAGTTAAAGTATATAACTTTTAATGAGATAACAAAAGCGTGTTTCAGCCCAAAGTTTTCGTTAGTGATTCATGAAACAGCAATGTACTTTATTTACATCTAAAACCCCTACTATATGAAGCTACCATTAGCAGCTGGCTAACCTAGCTAGGCATGATTGGTAACAGGGGGAAAAGCTAGCATGGTCTGCTTTAAGGTAACAAAATCTACCTGCAAGCACCTCTGAAATCCCTGTATACGTTATCCTTATGAAAAGAATCATACATTTACATGAAGTTAACTACTGTTCCCCCAGGAACAGTGGAGACTGCTGGTGGCAGCTTTTTGTCCATTGACTGTATAGAATAAATGGACATAGCTACTAAGACAACACTGTTATTGTCATTATGGATGTGTCCATCTGTTTTGTTTTTAGCAGAGAGATGATTATTGGAATGTTAGTGTGGGTCTCTCTGGAGTCTTACTCATTCTTAGAGCCTGTCTCATGTGGCCACAATAGGAACTTGGGCCCGAGGGATATGGACTTTTTGGGGCCGATACCGATAGCGATATTAGACAGAAAAAAACATCGGATACCGACATATTGGCCGATATCTTTCTTTAACCTATCTTCAATCCATAGAGGAAGATTTATTGTATTGATCCTCAAATACAGTTCTCCAACACAACTGCAAAGTAGCTGTGCATGTATCTGCATCACCACTCTGGAGAGTGATAATGCTCGTTGTCTCCATACAGCACTCTTTTGTGGTGACAGCCAGAAAGAGAAATGCTAGTTTAATACAAAGATACTCAACTTAAATGCTATTCGACTGGGTGAATAAATCTACTTGTATCGGCGCATATCTGCAATAAAATTAGTCGATACCTCTATTAAGAACTGCAATATCGTGTCACTTTGGTGTTGACTTCTATTCTCAGCAACCCTTTGCTTCACCCTCATCATACTTCCAACACTAACTCAACACCAAAAAAGTCTTTCTTTCAAAATGTGATTTTTTTTTTAAATTTAAGGTAAAACTTAACATTAAGATCATGTGAATGCACATATTTGTAATAACAACTTCCCTTAGGTTTCGATACCTCCTACAGCATTGTCATCTGGCAACGTGTACAAGTAAATAATATGCTTATTGTGTGTGTTTTGTCAGTGCATATACCTGTTCTCGTGCTTGATCAATAAAGGAACTGCATTCCCCAAGATATGTTGTGATGTCGGTGTCTGGGAGGTCCAGGATCTCGAGAGTCTTATAAACAAACTGATCTGGAAACAGGTTATTAACTCCGTAGGCCACATTCAGCACATGAGACACCTGACAGGGCGAGAGAGAGACATGAAAGTCCTTGAGCCAACGACCCCTGAGCATTGACTTGTTTAAAAGGATGTTTTGCCTCGGTAAGAGAGATATTCTGTCAGACTTATTGATGGCCATGACACCACCTGAATGTGACTGAGTGAGAGGACACAGAGATGGAGCGGGTGGGAGTTGAAAAGGAGGGGGAAGATAGATGAAGAGGAAAGAGAGTAGACAACGAGAGAAGACAGATGGTTCCAATTCATTTTGTAGTATCTGTCCTGTCTCACTTAAATTTAGCTTACATTGTTCTGACGCTTCCTGCTTCTGGACTGCTTTTATTATCTCCCATCCTTTTCTAACAGATAAAGGGGAGGTCTGTGGATATTCCTTTTTCTTTTTTTTTTCCTTCGGCTCAAAAAGGATTTTGTGTGGATCAAAAGCCTGATAATATACAGTGGCGATTCTAGAGTCTGTCGGGGCCCGAGGCACAAAAATCCATTGGGGGACCCTCCAACCAGCGTTAATCAGCATCATGTCTGCCAGTGTCCCAACACTTACACCTCATTCTCTTTCATCCTGTTTCTTTTTTCTCTCCTATAGACGGATAACTCCACTTCATCTTTCTTTGTTTTCTTAAGTAGACAAACTTTGGTTTTCACAGAAATAATGCATGTGACACTTAGCAGGGCAACAAGAGTGAGTGCTGTCAGATAGAGCCCCCTTAGGGAGGTTTCCTACTGTCGTTGCAAAATTTGCATATATTAGGCCACTGCTTTGGTTTCAGCTTAGCCGTTTTCACATATGCACTCCGGATAATATCTAGATAATTACAGGAGGACCGCTCCGGAGATTCTCCCGACCTAGCCGTTCACATATGCTCCTCACAGCGGGGGACTTTTTCCTGTCAGAGGGGAGGGGAGATCGGGGGATTTCCTGAGGTAAATAAACAACACTGAAGTAGCGGCCGAAGCAAACAGAGTCCGCTACACAAGGTTATAATGAGAATATTCGCCTTTATATCAATGCTATGTGTAATCCAATGGAATGACAACATCCACAAAAGAGAGGAGAACAACATACTGACGAACAGAAAACGTAATGCAGACGTTTAATTACGTGCACAGAGATCGTAGTGGTCGCGTGCGGACACTTTACGCAGTCACTGTATGTAAACGTCATTCTCTGATCATATATCTTGTTCCTTTTGTCAAAGCCAAAGTAACTCAAGTCCACTTCTGATTTTAGTAAGATTTCTGTGGACCACCTCCCAAAATGGATGGTAAATGGAAAATGGACTTTTCTAGCCTTCTGACTACTCAAAGCGCTTTTAACACAGCATTTCACACCTACCCATTCACACAATGATGGCAGAGGCAGGCTAAATAAACTTCTCTTTGATAACAAAAACTTGCTACAATATACATTATCAGCAACTACATATGTAGCTCTCAAACAGGCTCTTGACTGTTAGCTAGCTAGCAGTGGCAAAGACTGTTTTTTTAACTAACTGGGCGTGTTGTTGTTACTGCCTACTTTATTTCCTCTGCATTTGAATGTAATGTAATTATTGAGCACTGATAGTGACAAAAAAAAATCTACATTTAATTTGAACCTCTTTCTTCAGGGCCCGCTGGTTCGCTGCTGCCATAGGGCTCGTTTGTTGTCAAGAATCTATTAAAACCACATCAGTGAGTCACACTGTTACACCGGGTGACATATTCCTTCATTACCATGAACAGACACACACACGCCAAATTATTTTGACCAAATCTCACACACAAAATCCTGCTGCGGAAAAATACTCACTTTAACACCCGAAACTGATTAATCTGCAGCAAAAAAAAATAAAACGTCAAAGCAAATGCATTATTAAGTGATGTTTGAGAAACATTTTCTAAATCTAAAGTGCCAGGCTTTTTGGAAGAGTATCGGGTCTTTTTTTTTTTTTTAATTGTAATTTTTTTCGATTTAATATTTAAAGATTTATTTATTCAGTAAGAGCCGATGAACTTTGAGCTGAGAGTTACAGACAGGGAGTCAGAAAGTCATGAGATATGGACAATTGTTTTGTTGCTTTCGGCTTTTTCATGAGATATGTTTGACAAAGAAAATGTAAAGAGGGTTTTTACATACACATACAGGTTGTAATTATGGTGTGTAAAATCCTGTTTATAGTTTGTTCATCACTTGAATGTTGTTTGAGTAGAGTGTCAGTATTCTTTGATAAATCTGAAACAATTTTCAAACAGTGAACCGTATCTAGTTCATGCTTTGAGAAACCTGCTGATCCGGATTTAAGCCGAGATACTGTCAGATACTTCAGCCATCATGTTCCTGCTCATCCTCAGCCATGTTTAACAGGTGCATTCTCCAATCGAGTTATGTAGCAATTAAGTCCGTGACACACAAAATATCATGATTGATGATGTAATTTTGGATCCAGCTGCTGGAATAAAATTGAATGAAGCATAATTGATACAATTTGACTCTGACAATCCTTGTGTACGTATCTTTTTCGGCATTCAAATATATATGAAGAAGCTGAAGGCAGAGAGGTATGTTGCAAATATTAGGCAGCCGGAGAGCAAAACTGGTTTTAATGCTGAAATCTAAAGGTTAGTCAGTACAGATACATCAGATTGGCTTGATAAAGAGGAGAAAGACAAACCTACTCTATCACAGGAACCTGGGTGATGTTAAAATCACTAAATCATCGAGGTAAATCAGAGGGCTACTCGTTCACACAGGGGAGTCTCAAAAAATGGATTCTACAGGGTGTGTAATCTAAATGTTAGAATTGTCTTCTACCTAAAAGATTGTATCTCCTGACAAACGACACCTACAACAAAATACATTTGTTTTTTTGTTTTTTTTAATCTGCATGCCAGTAAGTGTTCATTAAATGTTGTGACAGAAAGAACATTCTTTTATAAATTGTCCTCTGAGCCCTCAGTTAAGCCTCCTGAGCTTTAATAGCTGTCTGGGAAACCCTGCGTGGTTTGGTTATTAGGCGGTCAGGGCTTCATCGCAGTAACAGGAAGTGAAGGCACTTGTAATCTCTCCAATTCATCATCCTGAGACTGCACAGGCAGCAATATGCTCATGCCTGGGAGCAGCCTCTGCAGAGAGCAGTAGTCACATTTCTCTGATGTGGAGACGCAGCAGCGCTGAGACTTAGTGTAATCATTTACTCCCTCTACTGAGCTAAACTGTCACTGCATGAGTCATGAAGCTCCTCTGGCTATTGGCTGCTTGTCGCAGAGCCGCAGGAATGCGCACCTGCATGGCCACCTCTAATCTCATGCCACTACACATGTGATCATATCAAGACAAGGGCATGCCCGCTGTATTGATCCCCTTGTACTGACCTTATGTTTCTGCAGGGTGTCAAAGTCCTGGGCTGCATCCTGAGAGGCTGGAAAAGCAGAAGCACATCCATGAACAAATGCTTTCAATAAAAACGGACTTTTCCTCGTTCTTTACGTGCATATTCATCATCTATCATTACCTTTCTAATGAGAAAAACAAAATTTAACACTTCATTCATCTGTGCAGAGTGTTGAGAATGTGTTGATGGTGATACATGATGTTGGTAAAATGTTTTTACCAACATCAAGCTGACAGAGCATAAAGTGACTAACTTGAACTGACTTGAAAATCAATTTGTTAAAACTTAAATAATTGATATGTTGATACATGTAGGTCATTCATGAAACAGAAATAATTAATTTTAAGTTAAAAAATCTGAAGGTTGTAGGCTGTTGACTGGACAAACTAAGAAGTAAACTAAGTAGTTCTGAAAAATGTTTAAAAAAAATAATTTTCTGACATTTTACTAACAATTAATCACATGATCAACTTACGATTAATCAATAACATGGACCAGGGTCTTCTAAATACCAGAATTTAAACGTTGATATACTGTAATACTTGTAAAAACCAAACGATATTGAAACCCGTTTCGTTGCCACGGCACCAAAATAGGTCCTATGGCACCCATGCACATGCATTAGCGCAGATTACATCACATAAGCAAGATCAAAAAGTAAAGAGTAACACATGCTCTCTCAGATAGATGCTAAATGAAAAAATAGAGTTGACTGTTCCTTATTCCTCACACACACAAACTATCAAGCAGCGGACAAACAATGTAAGAAAGAAATCGGACCCCCACATAAATACAAATTTGCACACACAAAAAAGGTCTATTCAGCAGTGGGAAGCAAATGTTAGAGGATATCAGCACTTATATCACTTAGTAGGAAAACATTCAGACAGAGAAACACTTTCTGAACAGCTGCAGCACCAAACGGGGAAGATATCAGTCAGCAGAAAGCAGCAGTAAAAACAGCTTAAAGCTACAGCAAAAAAAAAAAAGAAAGAAAGATGATAGTAACACCAGGCCAGGCTAAAATGCAGCTGAAATAAACAGTATATTATCTACAGCTGCAGACAAGGAGGTTTATGATGTTCATGATAAGACGGAGAAAAGGAATTTCACGACAAGACTTTATAACAGAAAAAGTGCAATGACTGACGCAGCAGAGGATGCGTGTCAAAGACCATACTGAACGGGGAAAAGTGCCTCAATGTCACGTTAAAACCGGAGTCACATTAACATTTTCAAATACAGTGGAAGTCTGAACAGAAGCTGGATAATTACTGTAAAGGGACATACGACATATGGAAACAGAAAACGCTGGAAGGGATTCCTCCAGATTTCTTGAGTGGCCACTCTGCAGCAGCTCACGGCCTTCAAAGTAGCAATATTTGCACTCTTTGCAGCAGCCAAAGCCACTTTCACATAATGCCAAATTCATGGTGTTCAGAAGTAAATCTAAATCCAAAGGCTAGAGAGTCTTTGGAAATAATCCAGCTCCAGCCTGTATGCCTCATCAGTGTAAAAGGAAAAGATTTAAACTGACACATCTGTGAAAGGATGCGGGAATGCCAGGATTTCTAGAGCGCTTTTAAATACAAGTGTGACATGGGAGCAATTCAATCTGCTAAGCTACAGAGGACACATCTCAGTCATATTTATACTGTGCGCGGCAAATGTTATTCAAAATGCAGTTCAATTCTATATTTAGACATAAAACTGTACAGCATTTTTGTTCAAGTTTCCCTGACAACTATCCTCTGCATTCTCTTGTATGTAACAACTGTTGTCCTTTTCAAATGTAGCTCAATATCTGCTGATCATTTGGGTTTTCAAGATCAAAGATGAAATACTCTTTTCTTTCAGGCGCATCACCCAATAAAAATTTAAAAAAAGACACTTCTTTAAAAATGCACTGTTTCGAGATGAAAGAGCTTCATCTGCACAATGGCTTCAAATGTTTAATTAAACTGTTAGTTATCTGCCCTCTTTAAATTTACATCTGTCAAAACATATCTCAAAGTTAAAGGTAAAAGAGTTCTAGAGCCTTGGAAATATGTTTCTTTGTTTGCTTCATCAGGAAGATGAGACCGCTCTTAGGTTTTTACTGTGACTATGAAGCTATCAGCCATCAGCAGGTTAGCTTAGCACAGCACAAAGACTGAAAACAGCTAGCCAGGCCGCTAAATAGTCCAGCAGAACAAAGGTTTTGGACATTGCCGTCATGTTTTGTTTTAGAACCCAGAGACAGCCAGAGAGGTGTCCATATTTGTGCGAGAGCATGAAGCTGTAAAGGAGGGAGGGTTAAATGCACGCAAGCATTGTAGCTAAAGCTAGCGCTAGCTTGGTTCTCAAGGTGCATTCCTAACTCAGGTAAGCTGTATTTACCAAAGATATCCATACACACCCTAAAACACACTCTGCTTTTGTTATTTCAAACTTAGAAAATGAACAACCTTTTACTACTGAGTTACAGAGGGAGACATGAAAGTGTCTAAATTCATTAATAAAATGTAATTAGTTGCTGAATAAGGACAGAAGCCAGGTCATTTTCACTTTGAGCTCTGGGCTTCTTTCTCCTAAAATAAGTGAAGTCGCCCCCTGCTGGCCGGTAGAATGAAAGCATGTTGAAGGCGCCCTCCAATTAGCTGATCTTTCCAGATACGGAGGCTTCATCCCTCTTTTACATACAGTTTATAGGTACACAAATATGAAGGGACATATTATTATCAGTGATAAGAGGTCAACATTTTGTCTATCAGGTCTAAATTAGTTTTTCGGGGGCCATAACTGTAAGGCAATCTGAACTGGTCACAGTCGTACCCTTAACAAGATCAAAAATATTTGGTGTTTATCAAAGGATGCCAGTATATTCTAAATATTAGAAATTGCAAGTTGAAAAACAAAGCTTAGAAGAAAAAAATGTGTGACAACTGTGACAACAGACATCAGAGGCAACAAGATGAAAGCTCAAAATAAATGATAGCCTGAAATTGGCGGAGACAAAAGAAACAAACACAAGCAAATCAAAAAGTGTCTCCCTCGTCTGAAGAGAGGCTATCAAACAATCCCTAGGAGCAAAGAGGTATTTCATTATTGGAGACAAGGTGTTTTTCAGCCGACCTGTCTGGTCTGTAACTGATCCTGTGAGGTGTCATTACAGAGACATGAACAGTTTATTGCTCTTAGCAGCGACTCAGTGTATAGAAAAGAGTCACCTCTGTTGAGTCTGACAGATGTAATATTTTATTGATCCCGGCTGAGAAATTCTCACTTTGATTCTCTCCTGCAGTTGTGGTCAAAGCACAGTGCACGCTACAGAAGTGAAGAGCACCCCAGAGCTGAGAGACGCTTCAATGTCAGGCAGAAGGACACTTCAGATACACGCTGACATGAGAGGGTGTCAACCTGTGTCCTCTGACTGAAGGGTACTTCACCGTGCTCTCTGAGACTAATTCAGACTTAATGACATTGATTTATTCGTTTATATGGATTTTGTTCGTTAGGAACAAAAAGCTCCTTCTGTGGATTTGCACACTGAGGTGACCAAGACATTATTAAACAATTACTGTTAGACAATTAAAACCTCGTAAGCTCCTGTGAGGTTTTCACACTGTGCTACCATAAACATATTATAACATCTGTCTGACAACATCTGTCTGTGTTAAACAAACTCCAACTTTCAAAGATACTTTAATTGAAACCCTCTTTTTCCTGACAACAGAGATGTATTATTACTACTAGAAAGCTGGCAGTACTATAGAAGCAGATGTTGTAGTGGTTGGAGTAACAATTAGTAATTAAATGTATCTGTAAAAAGACAAAACGAAGAAATGATTTCCTCCACAGACTGAGGTCTGTTGGGGCGAGTCGACAGATTCTAGTTTTGTTCTTTACTTCTGTGATTCTAAGTGTCCTACAGTATTGTAACACTGCATTGGTATATGTGTCTGTCCACTCCTTTGAAGTCTAGTTAGTTAGTTAGTTTGAAGTTAAGGCTGGCTAACAGCATCGCCTCTGATCCTGACCACGCTCTTAACACAGAATATGAACTGTTACCGTCAAACCGCAGATACAGGATCCCACGTTTTAATACGGTCAGACTGAAACAATCTTTTGTTCACTAGTCAATTCTAAAACTGAATGCAGAGCTGAATCCCCGGTCAAAGCAAGTTTAAGGCCTTTGAATATTTGTTTGGTGTTTGAATGTTGTATCAAATTTTTGTATCTTGTCTTGATTTTTAAGTTGCAAATGGAGCCGCTGTGACGCGAGACACATTTCAGACCATGTCTGACATTAGAGTTCAACCAATCAGAAGTGATAGCCTCTGAAGTAGTATGGGTGAAGTAACAGATCTATGCAGGAAGTAGCAGGCAACAACAGATACAGCTGTAAGGACCAAGAGTAAAAAATAAAAATGTTATAAACAATGGCAAACTTGTCGTACAAAGCTAGTAGAAATACTTGAATAAAGTAGAATGTTTTACCCAGGAGTAGGAAGGGTCTAATGATGCCAACTTGAAGGTCCAGACTTTTGTCTTCTACAAATCCACATCCACTTCCCTCCTCCAGCACTTCAACCTGCTCGCCTCCTTCTCCTCCGTCACTCCTCCTCTCCAGCAGCTTCCTGCCTGTCACCGTGGTAACATGGGTACACTGTTTCTTCAGACTGTTCTTGGAGAAGCCCTGGATCTCCTGAGCCAGCGAATGCATTACGCCAGGGTTAACAAGACTGAGCTGAAACAAACAAAAGATGACTTACAGGAAAGGTATTTGGTTTAACTGACCGGATCATCTATTACAAGTGGAAGAACTAATATATGAGAACAAAACAACCAGCAATAAGCCCACCTAACATAGCAAATGAACTTTCACTTTTCTCAGTGAATCAGTCACTTGTAAGTACAGTGGGTTCTCTAATTTAAGCCAATAGCAGCAGATTAGGCTACTTTACACACATTTTGTGCATTTACTCTTAGCTAATTTGCACCAAACACAAAATCTTGCCTTAAAAAAGATACACAGAGATGTATAGATAGGCTATTGTTTGGTTGTGGACAAAATCAAAGAGCTCCTTTAGGTTTCCTTTGCTTCGTTCACCCACCCGGTCTAATTTCTTTACTCTACCCAAATCCCGAAACTAGTTCGATCATTGCTGTTTTAAGCATTAATGTAATGTGATGTGTATTCAAGAGTATTCAGGATACTAGACTACTAACTAGTGAGAAACACAGCGACTGCCATCGGGGTTATTATTTACAGTCTATCGGCTCGACACAGAACTGACAGCTGAGTCGGAAGCTGCGTCAACAATGTGATGCGTTCAGGTGTTCCTAGTAAAATAGTTAATTATAGGGTTCACTACAAACTCTGCACAGGGTGTGGCTAATAATGATATACGTATTAACTCGCCTGTATATCTGTCAAAATGACCAGCTATGCGGTAAAGTTAAATGATGGAATTGTGTAAGAATTAAAATGATCGGTAAAATAATACATAACTGTAAAGCCAAAATTAATTTGATTGAAAACACTGAGCAAGTGAAACATCTGCTTGGTACAGCTTCTTTGATTTAATTACATGCTGCTACTTTCCCCTAATCTATAGAAGAACATTAATAGTATTTTCGGATTTGGACTGATGAATGGACAAATATGCAGTTTGAAAAAAATCTATTTTTAATTACTTTTAGAATAGAATATAAATCTTATAAATAAAAAATCAACATACTGTGATAGAATAATAAAAAAAAGAAGACTTGTTCATTGCAGCCCAACAGCAGTGAAACTATTTTATCGTGCTCACAATTACATTTAACATAACTAAAATTATATATATCTCCATTATATATTCAAGTGTATTTTTGGTATTATAGGATAGGATAGGATAATACTTCATTGATCCCCAGAGGGGAAATTCGGGCGTTACAGCAGCACAGACAAGAAAGCTCAAAAATACACATTAAACAGAATAGATAAGATAAATACAAATAAAAAATACAAATAAAAACAGGGGGTATGTACAGTACAAAATGAATGATGAAGTTAAGTGGGGGGAATTGAGAATTGAGACAGTATTTGCAGAGAATGACAAGATAAAGTGACTTGGTATGATGATTATGTCTAAGAGGTGCAGGTATAGAATAGAATAGAATAGAATTACTTTATTTATCCCAAACTGGGAAATTGTGGCGTAACAGCAGCAGGTTATCCAAACACACAATATGAGTAAAAAAACACAATGTTAGCAAATCTAAACACAATATAATATTAACTACAAAGTAAATAAGTACTAAAATATATCAAAAATAAGAATGTGAATATAAAGAAACCAGGATTTCACTAAGCATTACTAGTCTTAAATAGGAAGATTAAATATGAAAGACTGAATGTAAATGTGCAAAAACAGAGTTGTAAATGGTTGTAAATTAAATATGAAATCTTTCTGTAATGTATATTAGTTAGTATGAACTAAAGCCGGGGAATGGTAAAGGTTAAAGTTAGGCGTCATTAGACACCCAAGTTGGCTTTCGTTAAACTGGAATATCGAATCGTGATCAATTAGGGCACCGCGGCCTCAAAAGGTTTTCTTTTTAACGAGGGAGACGTGAACGCAGCGGGAGCCAGTCTCGTTGTAAAAAAAAAAAAAAAAAAAAAAAAAAAAAATCAGGACAACTCCTCATCCTCATCATCATCATCATCCCTCCCTGTGACCGAAAAAAAAGAAAACCCAGGCAGAGGGAGACGGAGGGGTGGAGTACAGGAAGCTGCTGTGCAACATGGGCGAAATCTATTAACGCATAAAAACCAACAGCCTCTTTAAATCACATTTGATCTGGAAAAGAGGCCGCGGGGGATTTTTGATATATATATATATTTTTTCTTTTCTTTTTCTGGATTTAATTGGAGATCCAAACAGAGAGAAGATGTCTCGGGGAGTGATCCAGCCCAGCCAGCAGAAACTGGCAGAAAAACTCACCATCCTCAACGACAGAGGCATCGGGATGTTGACCCGTGTTTACAATATCAAAAAGGTTCGCACACACACGTAGTTATATCCTCAGGAACAAGATGCATTAAGTAGATAATATCTGCACCCCGAAATGGTGATGTGAGAGACAGGATGAATGCTTGATCAGCTAGCACTGACTGTAACCCCCTAACGCCAATGTTATATATATATACACACACACCTGATGTTTTATATACGACACCACGATTAGTAATGTGTTATTTAAACGCGTGATAATCTCTTATGTTGTCCTAAATGTTTAAGAAGCATCACTAGAAGCAGACTTTGGGCATGGCTAACCAAAAAAAAAAAAAAACTGTCTTGTTAGCTTGCGGTAAAATGGCTCGGTTTGCTTTACGGCGTAATTTTCTTGTCGCTTGGATTAGATACCGTTTAATATGAGCAGGGTGGTAACATATACAACACAGAAAAAAAGCTATAATTAAAAGTAAGGTGCTCGTGTGAAGCTACTAAGGTGATATTACCTGCCTTAAGGCCTGTTAGTAGTGTTAGCTTATGTCGGCTGGTAATGGCGGCGGGCTGCTTCGCTAAGCTAACGTTAGCACTCGGGCGTCGTCTCCATCAAATGCCCCAAAACACGAAGCTCACCAAAAAAAAAAAAAAACACCAAACCCAGACGTGCAGTTGCACTTTTATATATTATGTTTTATACACTGAAGTTGTATATTGTTATTAGCTGATTTTATTACACATTTGCGAAAAAGCTAACATCGTTTGAGTTTGCTGTACAGTCCAGAGACAGTGAAGCGAAAGTAACAAATAATTAAAGGATCTTTTTTTTTTTTTTGATTCCTCTTCGGATTAACAATCATGTGCCAACGATAGCTGACGATAGGACACAAATTATCACATAGCAATGAAGTATGATCTTAATACCTTTTTAAAATCACAATTTAATGTTTGAATAAGCATGTTATCTTCAGTCGTAAAGGGATATTTAATGATGACCCAGCTCTGTCTTAAAGGTGTTTTGTGGGATACATGACAGAATTGAAGGCTAGATAGAGTGATTGTTTTGACACAGATATGAAGCATCTGGTGTTAAACACCCTTCTGAGTGTGATTCTTAGGTTTTTGGTTTTTTTTTGCATACATTATTTAAGACAGCTGATACAAAATCAACTATTTTATAACGTCACTGACTCTGTTGTTCCAGTGTTATATCAATGGTTTGTGTGTGGGAGGAAAAGAGTAGTGGGTCTGTTTGTGTTGGGCGAGCTTCTGTGCCAGAGTGTATGATGAATAAAAAAGAGGGAGAAAGAGGTCAGTCATTTTTAAGTTAAGTTTTAAGGAGTAGAGAATGACAGTCTATACTGTTTCCATGTATCATTACAGCTGTTCATCAGTAGCATGGTTATGTTTGTGCCTTAACTATCAGAATTTAAACAAAATACATTTGTTCTTTATTGACGTAATATATTTTTGTAATCAGCATACAGTGTGTAGAAATATGTAGACTCAAATTTTGTGAGCATGCCTGTGTTTATATGCCGTGTAGAAGTTGTAATACAGTATGAGCAGTCAGGTATACTCAGAGGGATTCTACTGCTGATATTTCTTCTTAGTACGCCCCTTCCTTCCTTCCTTTCCTCCTTCCTTCCTGTCTTTTTCTTTCTTTCTGTCTGTCCCATCATCTTCATATCTATACTCATCTGCCTCACCATAAGGCCTCTGAACACATCAACCCTGAAATGCTATTCTAATGGTGTTTTCTTTTTTTTTTTCTTTTTTAATTGCCAGATATTATAAGATTTTCCAGCAGCAATAACACGTGACTCCCAAAGCTAGAAATGAAAGGGCGGGATCAGTAATCTGTCATATAATAACTGGGCTCATTCTGGACTGATTTCTGCTCAATAGCGATTTGGAGACTGATTTAATGTTTCACTCCTGAAACTGAATGCTCCTCATTATCACCAGTGGAGTAATGTTATGTTTCTTAATGTTTCTTGTTTCTACCTTTGGGAGACAGTAATTCATGCTCACAAATGGTAATATTATCATCTAAGATCACAGTGATGTTCTTTTCCATTTTCAGCATATTCACTCATTACACACCATGATTAGCTGCAGAAATCCTTAATATTGTTTTTTTTTTGTTTTTATGATTCCCTAACAGTCACCTTAACTTATCTTTGCTGAGTGGCATTGCAGTTTTTGTTTGCTGAGCTTATCTTTTAGCCAGTGGCTTCCCTAACATCATATTTTGTCTTGCACACAGAACTTACAGGGTATTTATCTTTCTGAACCTTGTTTGCACCCAGTTAACCCCTTTAGTCTCCTCAGCTATAGTGAGCGTTTAGTTACAAATGTGTTTTCAAATTTAAATGTACAGCCCGAGTAAGTTATCTTCTGTAGCAGGATGGATGTAGCAACATGAACACCGGGACATTTTAATGCCGTTTGGTGTTATCGACTTTCAACAGGCTACCTTGGAAAGCTTGAAAAATGCTTTTAATGAAACCATGTGGTATCGACAAAATGATATAATCATAAATAAATGAATAAAGAAGAAAGTTAACATCAATAACCATGATGTAATACATGTCTGATAAAGTCAGTAGAACACAAACATGGGCAGCAAAAAGACAGTCTATGCATACATATACATACAGTAAATACTGGACATACAGCTTATGACAATGCATCACAGTTGGGGTTGTTACTGTACCTCTTTCCTGTTGACTGTCAGCTCTGTGCATTGTAAACAAACCAACTAGCTAAAGTTTGTAAGGCTGGGTTTAATCACAGAATATATGAACAAAATTATCTTTTTTCATTAGCAACAGTAAACTTCTTACAGATATTTTTTCTACAGATAAATTGGAAGAGTTTTTGATTGAGAACACGGTCCTTGTAACCTGATGGTCTATCAGTTGGGCAAAATGTTGCTGAACCCCTGACTTCATGAAGAAGAACGATTTTTTAAGTACTAAACTTGTTTTGTTTTTTTTCTCGACCATTTTGACTCCTGAGATGACCTACGGGTATTTCAGACTTGCACCCATTGTCTGAATGAGAGTCAATTCTGCTTTTAATTTTTGAAAATCAAAATTGAAAGCTCTTGTAGAGAAATTTTGAATTTCAAGTCAAAAGTTTGGACAACCTAAATGTTAAGACTTGCTAACCATGTTGGTCAATAAGCAGTCAGTTGATGCAACAGAGTAACTCATTCAAAACATTAAGCAGTTACATTTTCTTCGACACGTGCTGGGGAGGATATCACCTTTTTTTTTTTTTTCTCCCTCTTTTTCCAGACCAGTTCAGTCACTACTAGTCCCCTGTTGTTAACAATGTGTGTTTTTAAATTATTATTTTTTTTTAGATTTTTAAATATAAATAGTTTCAAGACGATTCAGTGGTTTTTGTGATTTCAATCTGGTATCAACATCTTTTACTTCTATCTACTGTACTTTATTCTAACAACAATATCGGCTTCATTGTTGTGGCCCAGAATGCACCTGAAAGTGTAGATCGGTTCTGGGCTTACCTCTACGGTGGATCAGAGGACTACGTCAGCTGCTTTCAAAAATTAACAATGACCTACTATGGGAATAAAAATGACACATTGACTTTTAATGAAGGACATCTTTTGGGCATTTTTACAGCTCATTTATGATATTAATGATTTTGAGAAATACCTGCAGACTTTCACCTTCTCCATTGCACGACTGCAAATATCATGCTTGGATGGAAGCAGACTCATGAATGTGTGCTGACATGTTTGCTCGGGATTCCCTTTTCTCTTTGGTATTCAGTCAAGCAGTGTGACTACGCATAAATGCGTACGCAAACACACAGATTTCTGATATGTTATCACACTACAGTTAGTCGGAAACCCTTGGAAAACTATTTGATTAGTATTCATTTTTACAGAATTAGGTTTGTTGCAGAAATAAATCAATAAGTATGTTAAGTATGTTTCTTTACAAATTTACTAAGACGTTGTGTATTTTTGTTAACGTTACAGACAGAAGGGTTGATTACTCAATAATATTGTCTCGCTGTAGGTTTCCGTATCTGTTAATATTCCTCTTTGTTTCTACTTCCCAAAACGAAAGTCAACTTATATGATGCGGAACATGATTGTTTAGTTTACAATTCACTAAAAAGGTCTTAGACACATTCAAAGTTTGCGTACGAACAATACTGTACATTAGATTAGTGTATCGATCGTGGTTGGTGTTCTTACACAGCTTAAAAGGGGGGTGAAATGCTAAAATGGTCTGCAAATATTGATAATATCGATTTTCATTTGGAGAAACAGGAGGCACATTCAGAGATTATGCAAATTCAAAAACAAAAAAAAAAGTGCTGAAGAAATGTAATAAAGAAATGTGCTGCAGACATGCTGCAAATTCATTAGCCATACAAAGTCAAAAGCTCACAAGCCCAAGAAAACAACTGTGAAAGAAAAAAGCTGCAAACTCAGTCATCACCGTGGAAGCTCTTGGGCTGTTGGATCTTCATAGGGGTTTGGTGCTGCATTCGCCCAAGCCATGCGACCCCCTACTTGCGACCTTAAACTCTTTCTGACGTGATGGCTGGTTATGCACTATTTTTGTTTTCTGTGCGTTTGTGTTTTTGACTTTGCAGTTAATGTATCTGTTTGGACTTTTCTGCAGAGCATTTTCATTTTTGTCTTTCTCTGGACTTTTGCATGTTGTTTTGAATTTCCATCGTTCCTGACTTACCGCCCTTTTCTTCGAATGGAAATCACTTGGGCATTGCACAGGTTTGCCCTTGTTGGCTACGACACTCTTTAGCCAACATATACACTGATATTCAGATCTGATCGCTTTCTAATTCTGTATAGTAGGATATCTGGCTCACCTCAATGGCAGTCAAATGGTATGCTCAAGCTGCAATGCAGCCAACCACCACTGGACAGCGCTATAGCGATAGACTGGCTGTAACTCTTGTTAATGGGCCTGCTCTCCCTACTCTACTACCTGGATGTAAACACGCACTGCGAATGGATAGCATCTTTTAGTAGCAGCATGGTTTGGCAGTATTTGTTTCTACATATCTAGGCAGTGTGAGGTTAAACTGGCATATTGACAGGAACAATGCGTAACCACATTCAACACAGGCATGTGGATGTTAACCTGCAGGGAGGAGCGAAGACTGACTGTGCTATCATTGCTAATGTTAGCCACACTCGGCAAGCCAAATTACCTGCAGGCAATTTTACATAAATCATGCCAAATGATTTGACTGTGTCCCAGTGTTTTTTTTACATTTAGATAGTCTGTTAGTCTGAATTTCAATTTCTGTTCAACAGACAAGAAAATTAGTTGCCTAGGAACATCCCCATTCTGAAGCCACTACTCAAAATCAGAGCAGGCATGGGAAACACATGGTATGAAAAAGAAATATGTACGCAAGCAATGCATTTTTAAACATCAAAATGTTAGTTTGACACAAAATGTGGAGCCTTGGAAGCATGGGCCTTGCATATACACCATTTGACCAAGATGAAGCCCCAGCTGGCCCAGAGCTATCCTCAGATCTGTTGATATCTATTTGGTGGCAACTACATGGTTTGCTCACACAATAGCAAGTCATTAAATGAGATGAGAGAAAGAGAAAATGTGATTATATGTTGTTGAGAAAAGCACTAGTGCAATATGAAGTTACATCAAATTCATGTTATGACTATGCGACCTACGAAGTCAAATTTTAAAACTTGCATATACATCAGTAATTATTTAATGCACGTCATATCACCATTGCAA